AAAGTTCATTGCATGACATCAGCTGAGCAACGCTGTTTTGGGTGGCGATCGAAGGGAGGTCGAGTGACAGACAGTGAGATGGAAAGAAAAGCCACCGGGTCCAGGAAGTATTTGTTATTGTTAGATTAAGACGCAACATGAACGTTGCATTGCTAAAATGGCTACAATACGGACCTTTGGATGTTCAGCAGCGAAGACAAGAAGCGCTCTGACGCTGGAAGATCGGGTAAAAGTGATCAAAATGAAAGACGGAGGAAGCAAAAAAAAAAGACATTATCCAAGAAATTGATGTAAGTGAAAGTGAATGCTGATCGTAAATTTCGCAATTTCTTTCCCTTTTTTTTCTTTCTACACTGACAATATGAAGTGTCAAATAAGTGTGTGCTCATACTTATGCACTATTGGAATAAAAATAGAGTACACATACGTTTGTGTTTGCGTGTACACATACGTGTGTGTGTGTGTGTGTGTGTGTGTGTGTGTGTGTGTGTGTGTGTGTGCTTACATCTGAGATCAAATTTGCTACAGTGAAAAACCCCCTGTTGTAAAAACTTTCTTGCTGCAAACATGATTTCGTTGTAGAGGAGTTTCACTGTATAAACACACACACACACACACACACACACACACACACTTTTTTTTTTAAAAACAAAATCTTCAATAGCCACTAATATACATTCAATGTCAAGTTTCCCATGAAAAAAATGTGTCTAAATAAGTTAATACATAAATGAATGAATAAATAAATGTTTTTAAATAATTGAACAAATTTAAGGGGAAAAATTGCAAACATGGTTTCGTTTCAATAAGCCAAAGTAAATGTGTTTTGGTTTGCTATCCATCTATCACCACTGTTACCCTGAACAAGTAACTAAGTTACGTAACCGATCACTTAATTTTAAAATTAAGTCAGCGACTTTAATGAGTATGTACTTCTAAAATCAATTTACTTAACCCTGTTTTAAAACGGTGGGCAACTCTGGTCTTCGAGGTCCGCTGTCCTGCATGTTTTAGATGTTTCCCTCCTCCAACACACCTGATTCAAATCATCAGCTATTCAGCAAGCTGTGCAGCAGCTGGATAACAATTATAGATGATGTGATGACTGATTCCTTGATTTTAAAAGGAAGGAAGTTAACTTGGTTTGAAAAGAAACTAGGTAGGTTACTTGGTTACTTGATTTTAAAATGCAATTAAGTTATTTGATTTTAAAATTAAGGTAGTTTTCTGCCTACTTGATTTGAATAGTAACTAGGTTACTTTGCTTGAATTCATTCAATGCCAGGGGTTTTTCTCAAATTGGGAGAGCTGGTGCCAGACATTTTTGACCATTGTTACAATTTTTTGAAGGCCTACAGATAATTGAGTTCTCAAGCTATAGAAGCATTGAACTTACCAAAAGAAAGCTTTAAACCCTCTTCTTTCATGAAGAAAAAAAAAAGTCTAACGTTGGCTCACACATGTATAAAATGTGCATCCACTAATGCTAAGAAAAGTATTAACCGCAACTACTCCTGGAAAGCTCCTAGCGTGTAACAGCAAAACTAGACCATATGGGGCAAAATGAATGGTACCACAGTCTTCAGTGCCAAAAACTCCCTCCCACATTCCAAAAACATGCATGGCAGGTTGATCGTACACTCTAAATTGTCCCTAGGTGTGAGTGTGGGCGTGGATGGTTGTTCGTCTCTATGTGCCCCGGTATTGTCTGGCAACTGGTTCAGGGTGTCCCCCGCCTACTGCCCGAAGACGGCTGGGAAAGGCTCCAGCACCCCCCGCAACCCTCGCGAGGATAAGCGGATCGAAAAATGGATGGATGGATGGATGGATATATCATCTTTTTAAAAAAATTGCCCAATGTGCAGTTTACTTGAGAATGAATGTGCAAGTTTCCCTACCATTGGAATCAGACAGGTTGGCCAACGTCTGGACCACAAAAAAGTGAGGCAAGACTCCAGGTTGAAACTTGCTCAGTATCTCCTCCATTATCTCATTGATATGTTTGTTGCCAACAGCTACAAGAATGTTACTGGCTGCCTGCTGCCAGTCAGGGACAACTTCCTTTGTGAAACAGAAACAAACAAAATAGATTATCAAGTTCCCCAAAAAACAAACCAAACCTAATGTGACATTGGTCACCTTTGAACGCGTCATCTCATCTGAGGCCAAGGAGATGATACTCTTGATCCTGGGGTAAGAGATTGCGTCTATCCTGCTGCCAACAATCAGCTCAATGGTTTGAAGAATCACAACTCTGTGACTCACCACCAACTGGAGTAAGAGGACAGGAGGCAGAAAACACAGCAAGACAAAGTTGATATTAAACACTGTTAAGTTGTTTGTCAAAAATGTTATTAAAATTTCAACACAAACTGGGTTACGTATTGTTAGAGGAATCTATGAGCAAAATTGTATCATGTTTAAAGTTTCATTTAATTTGGGCACATCTAAACGTTTGGGTGTGTATCCAGCACCCCCAAATGCCTGTGCACAAAGGCGCCGGCCACCTGGCCGGAGAGCTGTTGAAGTCCACAATTAGCACGTCAATGCAGGTGGGCAATCACAGGGGAGAGGGCGAAACTCGGTCACAAAAGGGGAATGAATAATTTGGGAACAGCGGTTGAACAACAAAAGACGAGTTGAGAACACCCGTCGCGCCCAGGCGACATTTGTCGTCCGCGAAGTCTGCAACATGTTGATACAGTGTAGACCAGACAGAAAGGCGGCAATGTACTGGTAGTTCAAAGCTTAAACTCAGGTAACCAATCACTACCGAGGGGCCGGACCGGGGGTGCGGTATGCAAACGTCGGGGGCAGTGTTTTCCTTGTATGTTACAATAAAAGTCGGAATTGGCGGGAAGGGAGCTCGAGAGTGTGATCATCGGAGCAACTACCGTCGTTCGCTCTCAGAGATCCCCTCCCGCCGATATTGAAGACAATTTTCCTGTGTGCCGAGTCATTTCTTTAACTTTGTCCGAGAAAATCTCTGACACGTATCCATGGTGGAAGATTTGCATTTCAATTGTAGCCAATGGAAAGTTCTTTGGAAGACATTTTTTACTGAGCAACGGGTACTCATTGATATGAGTGTGTGTATAAAATTGTTCACGCTGTTTCACAACAAATTGTATGCTAGCCTGTTGTACACTTTTTTACTGCCGGTATTTGCAAATCATCACATTCTGGTGACTCGAATAGGGATTCCAGTGGCCTTCAGCCCCTCTCCCATGGCGTCATGCACGGACACTTTTTTTTTTCCCCTGGCGGGGGCACGGACTAGTGAACTATAAGAACGGAAGCACTTTAAAAGGACGAGGAAGGATGGGGTTGAAGGGTGATTATTTTATGGATAAGAACGGAGGGACGATGACGGAAGGGCGCGCAGGTCACGGATGGAGGACGGAACGGCAAAGTAGGGTAAAGCGCCCATTGCTGCTATTTATACAAGAGAAGTAACTTCCTTTGCATCACTTTTGTGGCGGCATCACCAGAGCGACCTGGAGGAGGAAGCCGTTGTGCAAGGTATGTTGTCAAAAACAAGGCAATACAGCAAACCTGTTGAATCATTTGAACAAGTAACACCCAAGTGATAAAGTGGAAAGCATGGAAATGTGATCCGTTTGCACAGTCTGCTCACGTAGTAAACATTATCAGTTCAGCCGTTAATAATCAGCCGGCAGCCACTGGACAAAAAGCAGCAATCAAATGCGTCATCTTTTGATCATGCACATTTACAAGTAGCAATGGATGGAGGATCAGAACTTAAAAAGTATTGTTTTCGTTTTAAGGCATGTTCATTATTATTTTTAAGGAGTCGATTTTTAGTAGTTCACTGAGTTATTCTATACTGTGCTACATTTGTTGTACTGTTGATTTAATTATTTTTATTTGTCAGTATCTATGCTTTAAAACTGTTAATTTAACACCAATGAAATAAATATTTTTTTATAGCCCCCCCCCAAAATTAGGACGATATCAGTCATGTGACCTTGCACGCAAGTGTTGCAGGTAAAACCCAGTCCAACCAACCAAATTCCTCCCTTCAAGTTTGGCATCGACAGCTACTGCCAGCCAATGACAATCTTGCAAAGGGTGGGGATGGTGGGAGGGACAGAGACAGATAGAGCAAGAGACAACGAGATAGAAGGGGTGTTCACACAGCACACATTTGCATCGGTGCTGCACCGACGTATTTTGTTGCGATATACTGTATCTTACACCGGTGCAAATTTTGTGGAGCGTTCACATGTAAAAAGCTGCTGACTAAAGAGAAGCGTGTTTACCCCAGTGCAACCCCACTTGCGTTCACATGGGAGTTTCTGCGGTCGTGCAATACGATAGAATTAATACGGAAATAAAACAAAGAGCTGTGGTGTTGGTTCTTTTTAAAACATACACTTTATTAATTTGTTTAACTCAAGCAACTACAGGCACGTCTTTCTCGGTCTCCGTGCCATCTGCTCAAGAGGCGTTCAATGACCGCCCCTGGAAACGTAAATCAACGATGACTTCAATGACACTCAGAAAAGCAAACATAATGCGCCAAACAGAAAAACAAAAGAGGAAATCACAAAATAAATTCTATGGGGGGGTTGTGAACACACCACAGAAGAACAAACTACACAAACAACTCTGAGACAGTCCAGTCTCCTACAAAAGGAAAGATGACGGAAGTACAACAGAGCACGAAAGCAACGCATTCTACCTGTATGTAATCAACTCTTCTCATGCGTAGCGAGTCTACCCTTGTAGCGTTCACACGTACCATTTTACATCGGTGCGACCCCGCAAACGAGCATTTACTCCGGAGCAAATTTTTAAACCACCTCCTTGAGCAGGGTTAAATTTTCTCCGGTTTAAGATGTTTTCAGGGGCTACACCGGTGTAACTTTGCACGTGTGAACTCTCTACGGGGGCAGCCCCGGTGCTGCACCAGAGCAAAAGTTGCCGTGTGAACACCCCTAGAGAGAGCGAGAGACAGCAATGGAGGACATGTGTGGCACCAGGCCTAGCGGAGTGGTGCTGTTTGGGGCTAATGGAAGTGTATGGACTTATTGACAGCTGTTGAACAAAGAAAGCAATTGTTTTAGTAAAAGACCTGCCCACCTGAATGACTGGCGATGTTTGAACATTTTTAAAAATGTATTTTTAAATAATTTTTTTCATGTCAGCGGAATAGACGTTATAAACGTGAACAGGGGTGTCCAACTCCAGTCTTAAAGGGCTCCCATCCTGCATCAGAATCATTATCAGGCTTCTCTGTATTTGCTAATGAGCTGATCATTTGAAAAAGGTGTGCTGGAGGAGGAAGCCATCGAAAGTATGCTAGATAGGGACCCACGTGGACCTGAGTTGGACATCGCTAATGTAAACATTAACTGTTATACGTAATGTTTATCAGCATTTTTTTGGAAGAACTTTTTGGGTTTCAATGATAAGTTTTGCAATGCGTTTTCACGACCGTAATAGATATATTGCTCCATCTTGATTGAATCGGTGATCGAGTATCGTTTTTTTTTTTCCAAACTCAGCTGATCGACGCTAAAACCGCTGATCACATAAAGCATAAAATGTATCATTTGCTTCTCAGATGTATCTTTCCAATAAAATGCTAATTTAAAAGACATCGTGATGTATTTTTAATTGGAATGATTGGATTTGTTTTTTACGCACACGCATCTTCTAAATCAAAAGCGATTTTACGATTCAAATTATTTTCCGTTAGGTCAATATTAGACAGTGGCCAGGTTTACATGGAACCCTGTATTCCGAGTAGAATCCAAAAGACCAAACGGAATGAAAAGGCTCCAGACAAACACCTCATTCAGAAAAGGCTGAATCCATTTTGAATTTCATTCCACCAATCTGAACAAGAGACATTTAAATAGTTTAATTGGAATAGCTGCGTCCGGTCTGTGCATGCTCTGTTGATGTAACTGAGTTTTGATGTCGCAGAATATTCAAAAAGGAGCAACATGCCAGAGCTGTTCTGTGATGGGTAAACTTGATTTAAGGTACTTGTAACTTGTTTTTAATTAAAATGTTTCATTAATAAAAATGCTAAAATAAAATACTCATCACTACTGTGATAAACTGACAAGTTAACTCCATCTTGACAAATTGTGATGTTCACATCTACCTCCGCATGTCAAACAGCCGTAACACGGGTGATCTGATTAACATAGTGGAGCATGTAATGTAACAGATTATTTCACATGTATACAGGTTTCCTTTGAAATTAATTCAATGGGAATGACAAGATAAGTCTCCATGTGAACCCAGCTCGTGTTTTTTTTAAATAATTTTCTAACACTGGAAATTACAGTGCAATGAGGTATTACCTTCGGGTGTTTCAGCAGGTAGTCCTGACACATAGCAAGCACTCGGTCAGGCTGCTCATTTGCTAAAGTCAGCATCGACTTCCTGACCTGAGTCTGGACTTCAAAGTCTTTATCATTGGCCGCATCGAGCAGAGCCAGGGTCACCTCTGGAGTAAAACGCAATACGACAGTCACAAGTCACAAAGGTTATCAGAATATTTGTTGTAGAGTAAAACATGCAACAAAAATGGTGAGATGTGCAGAAGACAGAACTGCAGCTGCTGACTGTAGTCTGAAAAAAAAAACTAGTTTCTACATAACCATGTTGCGAGTATGTAATGAGAAAACTAATGAATCTACTTTAGATACACTTCAAGAAAGAACTCACGTTCCACATCTGTCTCGGCCATGGTGGACAGAGGGCTGGTTTCTTGGGCTCAATGACCCTGACACCTGCAAGCATTGCAATATACATTACGACTTCTGCATAATCATTATTACTTGACACCCGCCCCCCCTCCCCAACATTATGTATGACAAATAGAGACGTTTGTTATAGCATTTATTGAATTCTCTTGGGCCACATAGCAGTGGGTGGAGTATCTTAAGTAGAATAACTGGACATTAAAACATACTTTAAAATAATAACACCAAAAGAAGCGACTTCGCACCAACATATCAAAACCAGACACAACCTACAAAATCCCAAAGCGTTCCTTTCCACAAGTCATGTCAAAACATTCCGCAACTACGTGGTCTCCTAATTTACTATTAGCTTTAGCTGCTGCTACGGAAGAGCCACAAACGTCCTCAACACAACAGACTAGCGAAAGGCGGAGGCTGGTTAATAGCCTTACTTACCACGGTTTCTGAAGTTGACCGCTGAACAAATAACTAGGCTTTGCCACGGTTCGCTGTTCTCAACATTTTACCTGTGCGCTGACTGCAAGCGTAAACACGCCTGATCATGTGGTCATGTGCTTCTGGTCAGCAGGAACCAATTTGTGGTGTGACGTCACCACCACCCCTCCCCAGTGCCACTTCTTCTATAATGTTATGGCTTCAAACATCAAAGGGCCGCACACCGCCATCTACCGCTGGAGAGGGAGTACTGTACTTCGGTTGCCAATCTGGTTTTTCAAATTTGAGTTTGCCTGTCGTTTCTTCCAAAGGGTATTTTCCGATTGACTACTTAATTTGATGAGTATGTATGGAACGTATGTAAATATAAAACAGAAGCAATCACTATTATTTTTTATTCAGTGGCCTCAATATCGTTATTAACATTAGTTGTAGTAGTGGTTGTAATAATAATAATACAGGTACGGTGTAGTTGTTGTTGTAGTAGTAGTAGTAGTAGTAGTGGAAGTAGTCTTCGTCGTCGTAGTATCGTTGTCCATCATTCATCAATATTCAGTGGCGAGTCATCGTTTTGTACCTAGGCCTTAGTTGACCCTGCCTCTGAGTATGACAATTCAGAAAACCATCAGTACTTTAACAATACTCAGCAGCACTCATCAGTACTATGCAAACTATAACTATCTTACAACATTGTATGAAATCTTTACATGTGACAACACTGAAGACACAGCTTGTGTAACAGGGTGTACAATGACCTTCCTCTTTGACTCAACACTTACCCATGAATGTCTCAGTGGCGGACCCTGAGGGCCAGCAAGGCCTTCTCTGCTGGCCTAAACATTCTCAGAAAAGTAAATTTACTTTTCTGAGAA